TTCTCTTCTTTTTATGCACAAGTTCCATGTTTACTGACTGAACTCAGACAGATATCTTTAAAGAAGTTTTATTTGAGATGCCCATTTCTAAGAGCCTTCTGCTTAAACATAGTTTGGTGAATAATGTCTTCTCCCACTGAGGTCATATCATAAATCCACAGTGGATATGACAGTCAGCACGTAAGTGAATCATCTGATGATAATGTTGAATATTTATTCTAAGCTCATAGTGAAAGGCTAGTTTCATTACGACTACAGAATACCAGCGAGTAGTCAGTAGCAAAGACGGATTGAAGATTGTTAGTTGTTCGGCGTCCATAGAGAAATGCATTGCGGAGAAGGGAGTATTTTTCTAGTTAATTCTGACTTCTGCTGCTGAGTTTCAATGTTGAACTGAACAAACAGCTGACGATACACTTTACGAATTTCAAGCAAATTCATAATTGTCCAAAGAACACGGATAATTTGAGCATATCAGAAGAAAGGAATGGAATGTCGATCACAGTTACATCCTGTGCTTTGTAGCATTTTGTTTTTCAAAGACTCATAAAGATTTTGGTACGGTAATAATCTGTGTTAGTGGATGCCATTAAGTAAGGAACGTCGAGGTCTGGGGATATTTCTACTGTCATATCATTGCTACAAAATGTAGCCTTCTGATTCTCCTCAGATGGATGAAAGGTTAGCTATCCAGCAGGGAGCCACAACTTCGATCTATCGACTGAAACCTCGATTCTCTGTCGACCGAACTACCGTGCCTATTAAGTGAGTCGACGATTCAACTAGGGACAGTGTTCTGCTCTAAGGAAACCACTCTACCATTGAGTGAGGGATCGTTGAAACGTATTTATCGGTCTTAAGCTGAATCATGCATCAGTCGCTAGTGTAAATGGATATGAAATTCCCTTCAAACAGAGCGCTTTGCATTACAACCTCTTACACAGATCGAAATGTGAGTTTGAGCGAGGAAAAAAGCGCCGAATGAAACTAACCGTCAGAAAATTATGGGTTTCGTCGCTTCATTTGCAAGAAGACCTATTTCTTGCGGGGGATACTCTCAACATTTTGCGAATCACTTTCTGTTAATTGCTTAGCTGCTGTACTGATGTGTTACTAAGTTAAGTAGTGTTTCAACAACGCAACTACATCAGATTAATGTTGTCGGAATCTGATGAAACGTGATCTAATTTTCAGACTGCACCTTGTTGACTATCGCTGTAACAGACATTTTTTTTGTCTGCCCCATTTAACTACCACGTCTTGAACTAGAAATGACGAAATTCGATATACATAGAAATAATCATTTGATATGTTACAAATGGAAAGAAAAAGCATATAATGTTCTTTAATTAGGGACATCTGACGTTTCAGACCGAGCTCGATCCGTCTTCAAAGTCTCTAGTTCTGCCTTCTCGTTTGTGACTTACCTAAAGATTATATCATCTCCCGCATAAAAAATCATGTACGTTTTTCAATACATAAAAATATGAAAACCTTATAACTATGTTGATAACAATATTATGTCTAAAATAACTACAGTGATGACTGGGCAGAAGCAATATTAAACACAATGCAAAAACGTTGGTAGTCTCACGGAACATCTACGAAGTACATGAAGAAGTTCGGTGGTTTGGCAAGTCGTCTGCAGCAGAAAGTTAACTTGGAGTCGAGAAGCCAATTTTGGGTCCGTGCTGCTGGTTAAGTAGCTTTATGGTAACATGTAGAAGTAGGTTAATCCAATCCATGCTCAGTTCCTGTCCAAAGTCTCGCTTGATCTTGTCGTAAGATTGAATGATTAATGCCTGTTTGATGCCAGCTTTTCTAATTCTTTCACTGATGAGGGTACACTCTGACCATTGGTGCTGTGTATTCCAGGTACTTTATTCGCACTGGATCTTGACTAGGGACTAGTGATGCTTTATGTTTTCCTAAGTCGCGTGGTTAGCACGTTGTTCGTTCTCATATGCAATCATTTTCTAATTTCTAGCAGTTTATTTTCTTCGGCTTGGCAGATCGTTCTTTTTCATTTGAGCGACGGTGTTCTCTTTCTCTGCTGTGTGACAATTCCCGCATACACATTCGTACATTGAAAGCCCAGCCTTGAAAATTGCTCTTTTCAGCGTCCCAAGTAAAAAATAAGTTTGTTGGAACTTTTTAGCATTATGTGAATGTTATATTTATTATTTAATAATCGGTGTAACATTTTACTAAACTTTTCATGAATAGATAATGTTAAGTTAGGTATTTCAGCTTTGATAGTTGAAACTGTTCAAAAATGTTTTTTCCTTTTGCTCTTACGAGCCGTAATGCAGCCTTCTGGCTGGTAACTAATTGTACTTTGGTATAGACAAGGAAGTTTGCTCCTGACCCCACGATTTCAGCACTCAGCCGCTGTTCGAGTAAGCCGCTTATACAGAGTTTTCACTCAGTTTCCACGTCAACCTTCATCACGGTATTAATAAAATACAGTCCGTTATTTGCCCAAAAGCGCAGCAATGTCGTGATGTTTTTGATATGGCCGATAAAGCCGCGCTTCTCAGTCACTCCTTTCCATTTTACAGTGAGCATCATGTACGTTTAAATCACCCATCAAATAATGAATTCTGTAGCCGGCACTTCGTCAGAGCACCTTCTCCTTTATTCAGAAAGAACTAGTATTCTTCTAACGTTGCGCATATTCCTGTAATAAAGTCAAAGGTTTGGCATGTTGCAAGTTAGTAATAAGATTGTCACTCTTCCTTGAAAAGTTTTTATTCCGTGACTCTATCAGCCAAGTTGAGTTCTACCGTCCTGAACGCAGGTCGTAGGATCTGTATCTGAATAATAGTTTCCAACTCGCAGAAGTTCAGAACTCCACAGCCCGGGCATTTCGTTGATGAGAGATTGGCGTTATCCAAGCAGTTCTTCGCGACCTCATCAACTTTGACCTCATGTATGAACCATATTTAATGAGTCGTGATGGAATAAAATTTTAAAATAATGGGCGAACAAATATCTTCAGAGCTTCGTTGACGGTATATACCAACAATACTTAAACTTTGAATTTTTTACCAAATAATGGCTTTAAACGTCACGCATTATTTTCACTTAATTTCATACGTTTCTGCTTCCTTCAGAGTTTCATCAACGGGCACATTTCACAGATATTGAGTAGCAGTAGCTTGTTTACATGTCTTTAATGATGGCCACTCTGCAGTAACCTGAAATGTCAGATAAAGAGAAACACTGTGCCTCACTTGTAAATCCATTAACCTGTAAAATCTGAAGTGGTCATTAAAAATTTTTCATTATTTATTGTCGATGATACGCACAATTTGTTTCTCACATCGTATCGTCTTTCTTTAGACCGAAACGTAAAACTTTGAATTACTTGGAAACAAAGGAGGTGCTGGTCAAAGTGGCAGAAGACCGCGCTTCTAAGTCAGGCAAACCATTGCAGGAGGAGCTGGACCTGATTTGCGAACGACTTTCGCATTTGGAAGGACCCATGCTGAATCGTGCTACAGTAAGCATATGTTCAAGAACTTTAATTTTTGAAGACAGTTCTCCGTAATCTTAGCTGAGGGAGCCCACCAATTTCTTTATTGAGTTTGCTGAAGCAGAGAGTGAGACTCATATCTGCAGGGCTCTTTTAGGTGAAGACGACTTTTCGAGTTTCTCTTTTTGTAAGACGACTATAAAGTCATTTTGCTAGAGCACCTCAGACAATTTACGAAATGGTGATTTGACATCGTCACAGCGCTCAGGCATGATCAAACGCACAGGCGTCAATTGCTCCATGAAATTTTAAACGTCCATTCGCTACTTATATGAAGACGCTGACAGCATGCTGAAAAATGATATGTAATATTTTATTGACGTTTCTAGTTGCCATCGCTTCCGTCAGAAATTGCCGTCATGCCTAATGAGTCTGAGTTCCGCATTCGTTCAGTCTGAAGATCAGGTTTTCTGATCAAACTAGCACACTATATTCAAACCATGTGTGCCATAGCCTCATCTATTCTATTATATAAATAGATTTGTACCATTTTGATTTTTGAAAAGTTGACTGCTCTGAGAATCGGCAATATTCCAGTTGCAACAGAAGAGTTTGGGTTCATTTTCCTGACTTTTTCTTAAAAGAGGTAGGTGAAATAACAAGGAGTAGTCGAAACATGCTGAGACTTGGAAAACTGGTTTCGATCATTAACTCTATTGATTGCGCGATGAGGTCTACAAAATCGATGAACTAAAGCGAGGTACATCGGAGGAAGATGAAAACGGAAGGCAAGAAGATGAAAGAGCGAAACCTGAAAATAATTGCAAAGTAGAAGAATGAAGCATGAACGTAGCAGCGCCTCAACAGCTGCCCCCAAAAATTGCTCTTATCGACCGTTCATCCCCAAATAAAACCAGAGATTAGCGCAGACCCATTGCAAAGGTACAATCGAATGCGTTGCTGAATCTCATAATTAGTCAATTTTCATGTCAGCAAATTTTACTAAGTCAAATATTGAGAAACAGAAATGATGGGGAAAAAATCCTGCAATTTCTTTCATCAAATATCGACTTCTGAGCGTTTCACGGGAGAACAACATTATGGGCTGATTCTTTCTGTATTTAAAAGTTGAGAGCAACCGAATGTTCAACCTTCCCTGGTCTCATATTGCTGTTTTCTCCCACGAAATTATTCTCGTGGATTTCTTCGAAATGAATGAATAACGGCTGAGGGTCGCAGCAGATAGGGAACCTAGATCAAATCAGTCCGACGACGCGATACTCTTGATCTGATAAACATTACAATTTTCGTAGAACGGGAAGCAACACTAACCATTCAAAATGCCTTGACTTGTGACTTTGCTCCTGGCTTAAGTCTACATTTCATTGAACATGTCGTCAAACAATGCGTAAAATCTTATTAACTTTAGGGATGCCGCAATGCATCATTTCATTTTTTGGAATGATATGCGCAGAAATCACGTCTGCTGTCAAGGTTAAGCAAGAATTGTCTAGGGAGTTAACTGTGGAGTTCGCTAGTGAGAGGCGCTTTCTATTTTGATATTCATAACCACTCTCGACGAGCAATAATGGTCGAGCCCATGCTCTGCTGTCTCTCCGCTAATCTGAAGAGAGCAACGGGCAGGAGAACGCGAAAGCACTAGGCTTTTCGTTTTAGATGCGTTCACACGCATGCTGCGAACCTTTCTATGGAGCACTGCAGACCAGTTTCAGAAGATGCTAATAAAACAAGGTAGTCTGCAAACAGTCCTTCTCGACTTCACATCTCCTATAACGATGCCCTCATCGCTTTGGCAGCTCCTGACTATTCCATCCATGTACAACACAAACAAGATAGGGGGACAGGAAGCAGCTTTGGCGGAG